TTAGGGGGTGTGCACACTGACAAGTACAATACCTGATTTCACAGAGATTGAGTTTAGACCCGAGCATGGTTGAAAAAATCACTAGGCGCTCGAGGGGCGCCTAGCGCCTTGGACGCCTAGGCAGGGATTACTCGGCGCCTAGGCGCCCGTGTATTTTTATATTATTTTTTATTTTTAAAATATTTTTTTAATTTCTAAAACTTGATAATTATAAACTATTTAATAGTTTAACAGTTAATACAAAAATATTAAATATTAACCTAAAAACATCTAGAGTTTGAACAATTTAGGGTTATTTCGCTCAAAACAATATCGTTTTGAGCGAAATAACAAATTTAAAAAAGAAGGGAACAATAGCTAATCGGCCGACTAGGCGACCTAGTTGGTGCCTAGGCAGCCTAGTCAGTGCCTAGGAGGCCTAGTCGACGCATAGGAGGCCTAGGCGGCCTAGTCGGCCGCTTAGCCCGCCAGCCGCCTAGACCACCAATTATGGTGATATGCTAGGTGGCTGGCCAGCGCCTAGCGCCTAGGCGCCGATTAATCGGTGTCTATGTGGAATTTTTGCAACACTGGACCCGAGAGAGGGGTCCCGTGGGCGAGACTGGTATTAGGCCGGCTAGATGCCGAGCCTGGACAGGTCCATTCACATGTGGTGAAGTTCCTGCCTCGCCCGCGATTAAAGATGAGAAAGTGAGTCTGTGCGACTCAAAGTTAAAGATGAGAAAGTGAGTCTGTATGACTCAAAGAGACAGAAGAGAAAAGCGGGCCATTGTGATTCAACAGAAACCTCCAAACAAAAGTATACATTTTTTTTGTTTGAGAGTAAATATTTATACTTATAGCATTATGGCTTTTCCTTACACTTGATTGCATTTGTTGCATTTAGAGTATGTTGAGATGATAGCTTGTTATTGCTTGTTGTTTAGCATGAAAGCATGAGATTGTTGTTATGTTATTTAGTATCTCTTTATCTATTGTTGAAGCATGAGATTTGTGTTAAGTTGAGTACTTGAGAAAGCATGACTATTGTGTTGATCTTGTGATTGATTAGGTTGCAAGCATATAGAAGAGGTTATAAGTTTGTTGTTTAAGTGTGAAAGTACTTGGAATAATGTGTGCTTGCCAAATGATTTTCAAAATACTTAGCTTCGCTAACGAGCACGAGTTAGTTGTAGTGCGGAGATGAGTTGACTAAGGGGTTGTACCACAAGCTTTATGTTTTTTATGAAGTGACTTGTTTAGTTTATTTTCTCTTTTAGCACGATTCTTTTATTTATCTAAGTATTTGAGAATTTAGATTAAGAAAAATGGGGTGTTACACTAAGGGCCTACAACAAACTAGCTATACAATTCAATAAGCCTATAAAAGACCCTTGTATAAATAGTGGTGCAAATCCACTTCACAAACTAATGTGGGACAAAAACTTATCTTTTTCCCTTCATTTTTCCAACTCAATGGATATACTTTGAGAATCAATTCACCCATTATCTGTTTTGAGCGTACAATATATCAATCTTTTCGTCTCACTACGAAGAACCTGGATTCACTTTGACCCGACCCATTTCGGAAGTGGACCTCTCTGATAATTGTACCACAAAATAGCTACTTAAAATGTCATTTTAATGCTATTTTTCCAACAATATTTTCTCAATTTACTTTCTACCAAACTAAAATAATATTTATAATTCCACAACTCCAAATATTATTTAAGCTTTCATGGTAGTCCATCTGAAACATTAATCTTCATTGCTATATAAATTTCCAACATTACTTAATAAATTCGTATGCAGTACATAAACTATAAATATATGATTTCGTAATTATATTTTCCCATGACAGATATATTATTTAAGATATATCTTGTGGAAGTTGGAGTTTTAAACATCTGTAACTTCCATGTAACTTCTCCGACAACTATATTTGCATCTATAAATGTTTTGGAGAAACATCTAAAAAATACATGCAATCAAACTTGCAGTATATCAAGTTATATCACAGTTCTACAATTCTACAAGAAATTCTTAAACAAAGCAACTTAAGAATTTCATTTATCTTCTTGTATCGCATAAGATTAAATCTTAAACATTGTTACTTTATTTGAGAGAGATTTAAAGCTTATAGGAAAGTGATTACATGCCTGAAGATCTCGTTTCCTCACTTCCCTCTTATCTCTCTCTCTCTCTCTCTCTCTCTCACACACACACACACACACCAACAACAACAACAACAACAATCTATAAGTTTTAAAGTTCATATGAATTGCCGAGTGCTCGGGGTGATTAATCTTGTTGGCTTGTCTGCTAAGGCTTTGCCCTTCCTTGTCCCTCCCCCCCCCCCCCCCCCCCCCCCCCCACACACACACACACAAAAAAAAATATAATTAGTTGGAAATATGTTGTTTATGGTCAGGGCCGGCCCTGACCATGTGTAGCTAGAGCGAGGGTACAGGGTCCCTAAATTTTAGGAGACTAATTTTTTTTTTTATATTTTATATATAATTCATTATTATATTTTTATACTTGATAAACATTTTTTTAAAAAAAAATCATAGATTGGTCTTAATTGTAATTGAAAGCAAAGTTTTAGAAGGAATTGATATCTAAATTTTAATAAATAATTTTGTATTTAAATATGTACAAAAATTGTCACTTTTAAATTAAAGTTTGAATTGTATTTTTTCCTTTTATCTTAGAATACATCAACTTGAAGTCCATATGAATTTGAATGAGTAAATACCAGCGGAGGTCCTCTGACTTTGGTGGCACTGCCACTTTTAGTCCTCAACTTTTAAATCAACCACTCTTAGTCCTCTTACTTTTTGTTTCTAGCCATCTATGGTCCTTCCGTTAAACTTGACCATCTAATGCCGTTTTCTCAAGGATAATTCAGTCCTTTCATAATTAATTTATTAATTATTATGTTTGCCGAGTCATACTGAGATATCCCGACGTCGTTTTGGCACAACCTTCGTACCAGCTTTTGTATGCCATTTTGATTCACGAGCTAATTTTGTACACGTTCATAGCTAGGGAAACCATTGTTTGACTATTCTGATGAGGAAATTAAACATAATAATTAATAAATTAATTATGAAAGGACTGAATTATCTTTTAGAAAACGGCATTAGATGATCAAGTTTAACGAAAGGATCATAGATGGCTAGAAACAAAAAGTAAGAGGAATAAAAGTGGTTGATTTAAAAGTTGGGGACTAAAATTGACAGTGCCACAAAAGTCAGAGGACCCCGCCGATATTTACTCGAATTTGAATTCAATTACCTGTCAATAGATTTTATAGATCTAGTCTCCTTTTGGGTTATGTTCATCTAATTTTAGACTTCAGGTTCGAACTCATGACCTTTCATATGAGAATGCAACCTTAGTGCCATTAGATGGTCTTGGCAAGATCCAATTTAAGTAGCTTTAAATTTGATAATAAAAAAAATAGAATTAACTCGTTAAAATATGAGTAAAAGACGTTTTTGGTCCTAGACTTATAGTGGCACTGACAATTTTAGTCCTTTATAAAAAAAATCAGACAACTTGTGGACACTCTTATTGTGACGAGGACAATTTTGGTCCTCCGTCTACATTCCCGTTAGATGCTCCGTTTGAGTGGGGGTATTTGCGTCTTTTCATAATACCTCCTTCTCTTTATTCCCTCATTGACTCTTGTGTTCTTGACTACGGATTCACATAACAAATTTGTTCTCTCCCACTAAAATAGCTAAAGCACAAGCAATTCAGATTAGGTGGGAACATCTGTAAGATTCATATTTAAAATGGTGAACTTGTCCTAATCATATACAAAGTCAACTAGTTTAGTAAAGAAGCAGCCATTTTCACCTCAATGATAGGTCTGGTAGTTTCAGCAGGCGTGAGCTATGCTTCACCGTTCACCGTCAACTCCGACTCCGCAATGTCCTCGAATGGATGATATTTCATAGGCTTCGCCCTCTGCTTCACCGGCTCCGACCCGGAAGAACTGGATTGCTCCTTCGCGGTAGCCCTCCAGAACCTCTTCCCGCAAGAAGTTTTCGTCAATCTCCCAACTCTATTTCTGCAAAACGAAAAACCCCAAATCTTATACAAGCTTATGAGCTTAAACTGGCGTAAGAATATCAGAAGCAGTTAGTACCAATAGATGCATAATCCGACGGAGTGTGAGAGCCAGCGGCAGAAGTTTCCGGATGAAATTTGGACAGAGACAGCGGCAACAGGTTCCAACATCATCATTTTACTTAGATTTTATATGATGTTCTATATTAATTCTTATTGAGATCTGCGATTAGCTTCCCACTTGCACCACTATGGAAACCCAGTTCCACACCGGATGTTCTTTGACCTCTCCGCCGCGCTTACACACAGTTCACATAGTCACCGCCGCTTCCCAAATCACCTTCGCACTGGCTGAGCACGAACGCCGATTCATAGCCGCCGGTGTAAAACCTGTTTCCGATTTCCAAGCGCCGAACGCCGATTTCCGATTTCCGATTCCGATTCATAGTCTCTACCCTATCGTCGAACCCTGACCCGCAGAGCTTGTAGAGCAGCTCGGTGGGTCGACTTGTTGGAACCCGGACACATCGTACGATTGGGACACCAGAGTCTCAAACAGGGTCTCCAGATTTTAAGAGAAAACCCCAATTCCATCCTGGGATTTCTGGTTCGCACACCCTTTGAACACCAATTCGTTGTAATCCGAACAGAACCCAACAACAACGAAAGAGCCAAGAATAAAAAACACCAGAGAAAATGGAGATGACATGAAATGACACAAATGCCCTTCTCTCAAACGGCCATTTAACGGAAATGTTGACGGAGGACCAAAATTGTCCTGGTCACAATAAAAATGTCCATAAATTGTCTGATTTTTTTATAAAGGACTAAAATTGTCAGTGTCACTATAAGTCTAGGACCAAAAAGGTCTTTTACTCTTAAAATATTGTACAAATTACATCTTCTATTAAAATCTAATTCATAAAGATATTGGACTGTGGGTTTATCAAATTTGAAGCGTGACTCGATGGTTCGTTTGGCAACCATGGAAGTGATTCTCTCTTCTTCAGTACCTTCCATCTCCACAATCCCAAGATTTTCAGCTTCATCTTCCAGAACCCATTTTCATTTCGCCATCTCCCATACTTGCAACCCATCCAATATCTCTCTCTCATTCTCTTCTTCCCCAAAACATGGTCTTTGTTGCAGAGCAATTGCTACAGCAACTTCTACGCCCTTAGCTTCAACTACAGGCCACCAACATTGGATGGTGCTCTTGGAACCTCCTCCACAAGGCCTCACTTCAAAGCCACAAATCATTGATTACTATGTCAGAACCCTTGAGAGAGTCTTGGGCAGGTATATTCTGTACCCATGGTTGAAAGCTTAATAATTTCTTGAATTTATGGTGCAATGGTCTTTTTTGGTGTCCGGGTATTTTTTAGGTTGCTAATTTGATGGCAGTTTTTTGTTTTGTATAGCGAGAAGGATGCTCAGATGTGTATATATGATGCTTCTTGTGATGCCAATTTTGGGTTTTGCTGTGACATTGATGAAGAGGCAGCTCATGAGCTAGCTGGTAATGTTTTTATCTTTTAGTTCCACGATTATGAGATGATTTCCAAATTTGGTCTCTGAATATTAATTTCTTCGCATTTAGTCAAATGATTTTTAAAGGGATGTTGGTAAATAACTCTTAGCTAATTGGGTTAGTGGGTTGATTAGTTGATAACATTAGCTGGTTGTAGAAAGATGTTTGGTAAATTAGATATCTTATTAGATACAAAATGATTTTCTCAAAAATCTTATTGAAAAAGCTACTTTGAGAAGCTTTTTGAATTTTAGCGTTTTGGAGAAATAAGCTGTTACAAAAAGTTAATTAATCAAACACTTATAGTGGTTTTTAACCAAGTCAAAAAGCTAATAGTGGTCAAATAAGCCAAAATTGATTTAACTATGTTACCCAACAGGGCCTAAATCTTCGCCACATTTGGTCTTTTCGACCTCGTTTTTGGTCACCGGTGATTTATCTTAGAAGGCAAAATTATCATTTTTCATTACTTTTTTCTTAAACTCTTTGCGGAGAGGACTGGAAATGACAATTTTGTCATTCAAGAGAAGTCATTTGCTTGGAATTTGGTCACCAGTGACCAGATAATAGGTCGGAAGGACCAAATGTGGCAAACACTTTAAAGTCATACGACCAAATGTGAAAAAATTAGTAGTTGGAGACCAAATGTGGAAATGGTCCCATAATCGTCGGCCCAAAAGTGGAAAAAAAAGCTCAACAGAGAATGTGATTATATATCTTTTGCCTCAGTGTTGTGATCAGCTGTAGGACTGATGATTCTGTTCTGTCAATTCTTAGTGAGAACTAAATTGCCATGTTGGATTTTTCACCTGCATTGGATTTGTGAATCATAGGTTTACCTGGTGTATTGTCAGTTACGCCTGATCGTGATTATAACTCTAAGGAAAAGGATTACCGTCTGTTAAGTTCTTTATCGAGTGTATACACTGGAAGCTCGTTATTATTTCCTGCTGGGACATCTAAACACTGGCTTGTTCGTACTAGCAGGCCAGATGTTGGATTCATCGGGAAGGCACCAGTGGTTGATTATTATGTTCAGATTCTAGCCAAGGTTATTGGGAAGTGAGTACTGCTTCCTATGCCTTTGTACTTGACCGCTATTCTTGGTGCATATTTAACTGTGGTTTCTAAAGGCGGTATAACCTTATTGGTAGTGAGAAGGATGCTCAAATGTGCTTGTATCATGTGTCCTGGGAGTCCAATTTTGGGTTTTGTTGTGAGCTAGATAACGAATCTGCAAAAGAATTAGCGGGTAGGTATTCCTAATGACTAGTGTATTTGTATTCTTATTGCCACACGGTCCAAGCGACTCGATATGTTTACTTGATCTGCTGCAGGAGTGCCGGGTGTTCTATCTGTCCAACCGGATGAAAAGTTTGGGTCAGATGACAAAGATTATGAAGGTTTGTGACAATACCGTTATCTCATATTTCAGGCCTCTATTATTTGAGGGGTTGCAATTTTATACTCAGTAGATATGCCTTAAGTTTGCGATAATATAATAATGGTGTTATGCATAGCTTAAAGTATAAAGTCCTAAACCAGCTTGGTTGGCGTGAGTGGCCATGCACTCTCGTCCCTTAAGAGAGGTTGGAAGTTCGAATCCCCTATCGTATGGAAAAACCAATATGGCCTGCACTTTGCCCCTTAATTGGGCTGGCCCGATGCGAACGGGGATTAGTCTGAGTATATGGACTTAATGGTGCCTCCTATGGTTAGGGCCTGCCCGGGACACCTCGTGGTCATCAGACCAAAAAAAAAAATGTATTAAGTCCTAACAACTGCAATTTGATTCAGGTGCAATCTCAAAGCATGCTAATGATTCCCAGGATTTGTTAACACCGAACATTAAAACCAAGAAGCTTTTTGTGACTGGTAAGTTGCAGCTTTCGAGCTCTCGATTAAGGCCTAACTCGTAAGAGATTCCATGGTCTTCTGAATGGGTGGGTTAACTGATACTTCCCGAATTGTTTTCCATGGTTAGGTCTGTCGTTCTATACATCTGAGAAAACATTGCGTGCAGCATTTGAAGGCTACGGGGAGATTGTTGAAGGTATCTTACTCGTGTTTCAGATGAGTCTTCATCTGCTTTTTTTTTTTTTTTTTTTTTTTTTTAATATAGTAATATGAAACATTTTGTTCACTGAAATATGTTACCCCTGGACAGTTAAAATCATCATGGACAAGATTTCCAAGAGGTCCAAAGGTTATGCTTTTGTAGAGTACACCACAGTAGAGGCTGCAAGTGCTGCTCTCAATGAGATGAATGGCAAGGTAGCTGCACTTGTTGTTCCACTAAATTACCAGATACTTTCAAACAGGATTTCTTATGGTTGTTGAATCCTTGCAGATCATTAATGGGTGGATGATAACGGTTGATGTTGCGAGAAAGAATCCGCCAAAATATAACAGAGGAAGCTCAGGATCAGCTCGTTGACATTTTCCGCTACAGAAGTCAAACCCTAACATTTTTTTTTTTTTTTTTTTTGAAATACTCGTGATTCTTTACAAGGTAATATATGTTTTATACTTTCTCAATCTGGTGAAGTTGCATCAAGGAGCCATAGCATTTCATTAAAACATTAAGTTGCCAATATTTTTAACGCTGGGTAGTGGCTGTAAATTTCTCCCGTCATGCCAAAATCCCTTTGAAATTGTAATCTTGGAGTGGATTGTGCCTTACAGAACTAAAGAAAATTGGTTTGTACCTTTCATACTATTCTTGTTCTTGAGTATAGTTGGGCCCAATCTGACATGTAGTTTTGCTTTGGTGTATCTTATAAACTAAGATTGGGATTGAGTTAGGATCACTCAATTGAGTTATAATGGAGTTATAATGCACATGGGTCAAACTACACTAAAAGATTAAATCCAATCAATTAATTAGTCCAACCCATGACCTTATAAACCTATATATTCTCTTTTATTTTATCAATGTGACAGTATGCAAATGAACATAAATGTATTGATAGAAGGGCAGAGAGAATTCAATACATGGATTGACAATAAAGATTAGTTCTAGGAAGAAATTACTAATAGAGCATTAACACCATGCTTGTTTGTATATAATATAAACATATAAAGATGTAATTGTTTGAAATGGATTACAAATATAAAGTACACATTCAGGATATCTCAAGAGAAAATAACACCACATTAATGTACAATGTTCATTACCACCAAATCTATTTGAGAATGAGTACTTCCTCATGGTACAGCTCTTGATAGTTTTATTGAAACATAGTATTGAAAGTGATAGAGAGGCTCAGTATCATAAATACAAGTTTCACCAGCACTAAAAGGAAATAATCTTCCCAGACTTGAAAAGCAAACCAATTATCCTTCCTCACCAAACTCCCTCGTGAATCTTTCGTGCACTTCAAGATCTGATTTGCTCACAGTTGGCTTCTGTTTCGCCAGCACTTTGTCAAAATCTCTTCGGGTGATTGGTGGTGGTGTTACCTGCCGGACGAGGGTGTTCAATTACCCAATTATAAGCCATAAATGACCACAGTGCAATAGCGATCTAATAGTAAAGAAGAATTATATCGGCATTGAAGATAATGGGAGTGTTTGGTAAATAGCTGTTAGCTGATTAGGTTAGTGGGTTTGAATAGTTGATAGCATTAGTTGATTGTAGAAAGATGTTTGGAAAATTAGCTGTTAGCTGATAGCTGATAGCTAATTACATGCAAAATGACTTTCTCAAAAAAGCTGATCGAAAAAGCTGCTTTGAACAGCTTTTTGAATTTTAGCATTTTGAAACAATACGCTGTTACAAAAAGCTAATTAATCAAACACTTATATTGAATGTTTAGCCAAGTCAAACAGTTAATAGTGGTCAAATAAGACAAAATTGGCTGATAAGCTAACTAGGGGGTTATCAAACATGGCCAGTAAAAATTGGACACATGCTTCAAGGTTACTGCATTATGCAGGGTGGTAGAAGGTTATCATTCTTGGAAAATTCCAATCCTCTCAAAGAAAAGAAAAGGACAAATAACAATTCCACAATAACCATAAATTTGTAAAAGACAAAGCAGGGTGACAATGTTAATGAATGTTAAATGTTTTGTGTTTTAAAATTTGCTATCAAAATAGCCATATCTGCTAATTCTTCAATTGCTTGTCTCACATTTCACTTTTTAAATTATACAAGGGCCTACTTGTAATTCTCTTGTGGCTCTGCCATCCCGATTAAGATGGGGGCTAATATCAAGTGCAACAAATCAAAACACTAAAACAGGTGATAACACAGATTGTTTAAAACGGGTAGTACTTCCCATAAAACGCAAAAAGGACTAATTAAATTACCTTTGATGCTAAACCTTTAGCTGCAAGTTCTTGCATGTTTGTCTGAATGGCACCTGGTTGTCTAGGTCCACAAGGCACCCATAACCCATCAGGAGTCTTGATGAAGAACTCCGCATCTTGAGTTTTACGAACTGGTTCAAACAGAACCTCATTTACCTAAAAAAGTTGGAAGATGGTCAGAGAAGAAAGTCGTTTCAACAATATCCTCAGAAACAATGATAGAAACTACTAATGGATCTATATTGAAACACATTTACGGGTGTTTCAACATAGCCTTTAATGGATCTGTGTGGGCTATATTTGATACTTACACACACAGAGATGTCAGAACCTGAAAAACCTTCTGTTCTTATGGCTAGTTGCTCAAAATCACTTTCCGTTAAGTTGTGAGGAGTATCTCCCAGATGTACCTGCTTGCATAAAAAAAAGATGGTTATACAAATTACAAGATTTACATATCACCACAATTACCTGAAAGAAAAAAATATATGACAAGAAAAGATCCGTAAAGAGCTTCAAGTATTTATTGCACCTTAAACATATGTTGCCTTGCCCTCAAATCTGGTAGAGGGATATATATTCTCTTGTCAAATCGCCTCCTAATAGCCTGGTCCAGTGCATAAGGAGTGTTCGTTGCCGCAAGAACAAGAACTTTTTCATCATTATTTCCAACACCCTAAAATCAAGTAAAATCAGTGAAATTATACAAATCAAATTATCAAATTTATAGCGCAGGGAAAAGAACAAAAAAACTGAATGGTACTCGTGAAGTACAAAACTAGCTTTTATACAAAAAGTGGCAAAGCAGAAAGAACCCTTACTTTTTCACCTGGGAAAAGTGATTCATAGCATTTGCTTCCATGATTAGTAATTTAGCTTACTAATAGCATGAAGGTAAAATTACCTGCATCTGTACAAGGAGCTCGGTTTTTATACGCCTTGAAGCTTCACTCTCATTGCCCTCACCACGTTGCCCACATAATGAATCAATTTCATCTATGAAAATAATGGAAGGAGCACTTTCCCGAGCCATTTGGAATAAGTTTGAGACAAGCTTTTCACTTTCACCCATCCATTTTGAAACAAGGTCTGAAGAAGAAATACTGTTTATATACAAGGAAGAAGCAAAATTATAAGTTTATTCAAACAAGATACAGTAAGTTAAGAACATCATCCAGGATTTTAGTTGAATGACATTGCTGGCAAATAGGAAGAAGACAAAGTGGATTCTGAAGAGAGAAGCAAAACCAACAAACCCCTTTTAACTAAAAGTGCATCTTCTAAAGAAAAACTTCGGAGTTCGGAGAAATGAATATCAAAGAGAAAGCAGGATCTCCAATAAAAAGCGCAACTTCACATTTTTTAGTTTGAGAAGGATAATTGTCATTTAGTTTTTGGAGGGTAGAAAAGAACTAGGAATTTGTTCAACTATAGTGCAAGGAGCATTTTGTTTAGGAGAGGCTGGGTAGTGGGAACTGACAATCATCTATGTATACCTGAAGAAGGTTGAGTCAGCTTCTGTAGCAACAGCTTTTGCTAGATATGACTTTCCTGTTCCAGGTGGACCGTACAGTAAGAAAGCCCTCCATGGTCGCCGCTTTCCTATTCAAATGAATAAGAGCTATCAAATTCTAAAATGAAGGAGGATTGTCCTCACATAAATTTCTTGCACAAGTTCATAGTTATGCAAAAGGTTCAAATTGAATTATACCATTAGCCTTGTACTACAAGCTCATTATCTTCGTTTTCATTTTTAAATAAATGAAATGAAATACTTGTCTACTTGATAACATCAAAATGCACAAATCACTCTTCTCAAACCAAATCTGCATTCAGGTTTCATAAAGAGAACTTTTCAACTGATATGGTCAATGGGTGGCAGACTCCTTTTTCCATAGCAGTCAAAATATGGATAAACTAATTAAGTTGTCCAAAATTTCGTTCATTTAAAAAGCATCCTAAAGATTAGTCATTGATGTGACTTCTTTATTGTAGAAACTGCTTAAATTCCTGGATACAACTCATTGCAAAATACATAAATAGGCTTAGAGCTCTTCCTAAGTGCTTGACCTATTATTGACCCTAAGGTCATGGATTCAACCCATCCAAACAACCATTCTGAAAAAAAGTGGTAAGGCACTCTACAACTTGTTTTGGGGTCTGCATGATTTGGAAGTCTTGCGCCACAGTGCCACACTAGGTTCAAGATTCATAATATAATGTACTACGTACTAAACTGTAAGAGGCAAAAACAAAAGTCCCAAAATACAAGGAAAGGTAATATGTATTCATGTGCAAAGAAAATAACATATTATCAGGCTCAGAAAATTAGGTCTTTACCATCTTAATAAGCTATCACTGTTAGTTTCCAGTGAATTCGGTTATCCTGACAACGCATTATATTTTTATTGCTCCATCATTGAACTCAATTTTGTAGTAGATAAATTTTTAAGAATAAAAAGAAAGAAAAAAGCAGCACCAGAGACACATCTAAGAGCTTGAGGAACTAACCAGTGAAAAACTGTGGGAATTTAACCGGTAATATCACGGCCTCCTGCAATGCTTGCTTGGCACTCTCTAGCCCTGCAACATCATTCCACTTAATATTAGGCTTTTCTCTTACTATTGCAGAATTCAGCCCTGCCCTTAACTTTGAACTCTCCGAATCATCCCCATCTCCTCCTCCTCCTCCATTCTTTGGCTTTGTCTTTGGTCGCGCTGCAACAGCAGCATCTCCATTTGCTGCAGGTCCATTACCCCCTCCCTCATCAAGAACTGCCCGAATCTCCTCAGCCCTCCTCAAATACTCAGTGAACTTCTGGGTAATTGCCTCCTTAACCTTTGGATTCTTCTCATACTTTAAATGAGTCTTAAAATACTCCAATGCATTCATATACAAAGAAAAGGCCTTTGCATAATTCCCAGCATTATCTTCCTCAACCGCTTGCTTCACATATGCTACTGCCTGCTCCTTAAAATTGCTATACATCCTTTCTTCACAAAAACCTCATAAAATTCCAAATATATCAGTCAAGCCCCTAAAATCACCTTCACAGCTTAAGTCAATTACTCCTCAATTTGGCCAAAAAACTAGACAACCCAATTCTGAAATCCTTCCAACACCCAGATAAAAAAACAATTCTTTTGAAAGAAGTCCCTTCAAAACTATGGAAAACTACTCACAGCTGACAGCCCAATCCTTGATTCTTCATATTATGAATTTATGATACTCTCTGTCTCTCTTCACTGTAAACCCCTGAATCAAGTCAAACGAAGTGGTCAATTTCACCAATTCACCACAACCCAAAAATCCATCGGCTCAATTGAAAACAATCCAGAATTAACCCAAAAAATGAAAATATCTTAAGATTGATATTAATATGCGGACCCTTTATTTCGAAAACTCTAATTCTGGTAGGTAATGATCCAAAGGCAAATCCAAAAGAGATTATGCAACAGGAGAAAGAACACAAACCTAAGAAAATGGGAACCCGGACTTGGATCAAGGGGAAGAAGCAAGCCAATGATAGTTGTATATTTGAGTTGTGGCGTGCGGGATGGGAAATTTGAGAGAGAGAGAAAGTCTCCTATTCTTGATCGGTCTCCGCTGTCCGCTGATTGATAGATACTTTCCTAATCGCGAAGCAGCACAGGCATTTCCTTCGTTTTCCAGTCCTACTTTTTCTTTTCTTAATAATAATAATTTGGAATTTATTACGGAGTAATATTATTATTATTAAAGAAATCTATACTATTTTTAAAATATTAAAAACAAAAGACTAGTATATTATTAAGTTTGCGCAATATTTTAAAAATATGGTAATACAATTCATATTTGTATTATAATTATACATTAAAATATGGTAATACAATTTTTATATCATATTATCATATTTTTACAATGTCTTCTCTTCCCCCCCCCCCCCTCCTTTTTCCCCCTCCCTCCCCTATATAAAGTAGTCTTCCCTTCACTCCCACACACACACAAAAGCTCCCCAAAATCTGAAATTTCTTTCCCTCCCCTCCCCCAAATTTTCCGGCCACACCCCTGCCGCCGCCGCCGCCGCTTGCCGACCCCAGCCCCTGCCGAGGCCGACCCGTGCTCCACCGTGTCCTCCCTCCGTGCCCTCTTTGTTCATCCTCTTCTTCCTTAAGTCGGGTGAGTTTCGTGCAAACCCTCTTTAGAGTTCCGTAGTTAGCTTTTTATGAGTATAGTGCCTCTTGCCGAGGACACGCATCCGGTAGACCTACCTTTGATTATCAATTATTGGTCCATCCTAGACTCCATTGACTACGCGGATCTCCCGCCTAGTGATGACGAATCTATTGACTTAGACCGGTTTCCTTCCCCTTACGTTGAGCACTATTACATTGAGTACCCGTACATAAATCCGTTAGCCACGCATCCCCCCTTCATGAGGACTCAAGGAGGATCCGAATCCCCGAGGGATGGCGGAGTCAAGTACGGTGTACTGACTCAAGGGGAAGGGATCCGGGAGTGGCGTAGGAGTCGACATGAAGGGGGGATGCGTGGCTAATGGATCTATGTACGGGTACTCAATGTAATAGTGCTCAACGTAAGGGGAAGGAAACCGGTCTAAGTCAATAGACTCGTCATCACTAGGCGGGAGATCCGCGTAGTCAATAGAGTCTAGGATGGACCAATAATTGATAATCAAAGGTAGGTCTACCGGATGCGTGTCCTCGGCAAGAGGCATTATACTCATAAAAAGCTAAATACAGAACTCTAAAAGAGGGTTTGCACGAAACTCACCCGACTCAAGCAAGGAGAGGATGAACAAAGAGGGCACGGAGGGAAGACACGGTGGAGCACGGGTCGGCCTCGGCGGGGGCTGGGGTCGGCCTCGGCGGGGGCTGGGGTCGGCCTCGGCGGGGGCTGGGGTCGGCCTCGGCAGGGGCTGGGGTCGGCAGGCGACGGCGGCGGTCGGCGGCAGGGGAGTGGCCGGAAAATTTGGGGGAGGGGAGGGAGAGAAATTTCAGATTTGTGGGGAGCTTTTGTGTGTGTGTGTGGAGAGTGAAGGGAATGCTACTTTATATAGGGGAGGGAGGGGGAAAAAAGGGGGAGAAAAAGAAAAGACATTTTTTTTTGGAAAAAGGGGAAAATTTTGGGGAGAGGGAAAGATGTGGTGTTGAGAATGTGAGGAGGTTTGGGAGGATGGAGGGGGTATTTAAAGGGGAAGTGGAAGGGTTGTAGTAGGATGATGACTCTTAAACTGATAAGAAGGAACACAGGCTTGAATTCCAATTCGGTTAGGAGTCCTATCGCGCCAAGAATTCTACAAGAGAGAAGGTTGAATTTTTGGAGACATGATTCGGGGCCCCGTAATTATTAAGTTCATTTTACTCTCTCGCGCTGACGACTCCTCGCAGCCCCGAGAGTGGGGGACTGATGATGGAATAATCACGGAGCCGAAGCGGAGCAGGATAATACGGACCGGGTCGGACCACCCCGCGTCTACCCGCGGTACAGGACGAACCACCCCGGGGTCGGCCCAGTGGGGGTCGGCGTGGGCCGACCTCCCCGAGCTCGGTCGAGCCCATGCTCAGCCCCTTGGCCGAGCTCCGTGCTCGGCCAAGGGCCGGGTCCTCGCGTGGAGCGAGTCACGCGGCGCGGGCCGCGGCTCCTACCGCGGGTCCAGGGCCCGTAGCAGCCGGGGAGTATATAAACACCTCCCGGTGTCCTAATTAGGCATCTCATACTTTTCCTACAACCTTTGTCTTGTTATTACACGTTCCGAACCTCTATAATAGCATTTTATATCCAATTAATACAATCTTTACTGTTTTATTATTCGTTCTTATATTAAATCATATATACGGGTTGTATAATCCGGACCCCCGGGTTCATATAATTCATCAAATATAATATAGTTTTTCCTACTTTCTTATCTCTAATACAATTCTAGATTAAATTTACTAATCTTAATAATAATAATAATATATACTGTTAATAAAAGTAAAATCATCATCTTCAACTTTTCCGTTCAAACTAATATGAATATTAATTAATTGGTAACAAAATTTTATATGAAAATTAATAAGTATCTATTGGCCATAAATTAAAGTCAATATATACTTACAAATAAAAAATGGTTACCAAACTCTAAGAATAATTAAACCATTATAATTGTGAGAATAATGAAAATAAATTCTGCGTAATAAATGAACAAATCATTGAAAATTTTGTGTAATTTTATAATGAAATAATAATTTATTAATTACTATTTACAAAATAATAATAATTTGAATATTAATTTTACACCAATAATAATAATAATAATAATAATAATAATATTATTATTATTATTATTAATATTAATATTATTATTATTATTATTATTATTATTATTATTATTATTATTATTATTATTATTATTATTATTATTATTATGTAATAATAAAGTAAAATTTATAATAATCTATACTATCTAATATCTATACAAACAAAATCCTCAATTTAACTTCCCTCCTAAAAGACTCCTATATAGGTTTGCGCAATATTATAAAAATATGATAATACATTTCATATTCGTACTACAATTGTACATTCAAATATGGTAATACAATTCCTAATATAATATATTCTTTCCTACTTTCTTATTCTTAATACAATTCTAAATTAAAATTACTAATCTTAATAATAATAATAATAATATATATTGTTAATAAAAGTAAAATCATCATCTCCAACTTTCCCGTTCAAACTAATATGAATATTAATTAATTGGTAAAAAAAATTAATAAAGCTTAATTGGTAGCAAAATTTTATATGAAAAAATTAATTAATATCTAATGAATTGTTACTACAAATTAAAGTCAATATATATTGCCAACTACCATGTACTGTGATGACATCCTGATTAACCTTCTCGGTCATCCTTTGGGGGAAAAATGTTAGTTTTGTCTCACCATGAAATTTTCTTCTGCCAACCCTCCTCCATTGAGCTCATCTTGGCTTCATATTCTGACCATCGTGACTCAAATTGTTTTACTTGTTGTTTTAATGCTGCATTTTCCTTTTCATTCTGTTCAATGATAGCCTCAGCCATAAGAACCCACTTTTGAAGTTGTTCCAAGCTTCTTTGTTTATTGAAGGATTAAGATGGTTGTGCCACCTTTTTTTAAAAAAGAGTCCAAACATAATTTACTTCAATCAGATTATTCAACTCAACTGCCAATGGCCACACCAGAACTCAAAAATGTAATGATGTGTATTATCTATTTGCATATACATTATGCATTAAAAATTAAAAACTATTCTTGAGCAACCAAAACAAAAAGTTTAATGCCTTTGAAAACAGATATATACCTCAAAGGAACAACAATCAATTACTATCCACGGGCATTAGTTTAACAATATGAGAGAAGTCTGGGAATTAATGTGCAAGTGAAGAGAATACCTATCTTTTTCCACTTTTTTCCTTTAAATAGTTGAACAGCCTTGCGCAAAATTTCATCCTGTAGGCTGTAACAATAAGAAATTTATGTTAGCAGAAATACATAAACTTCTATATAATAAACTATGGTATGGACTATGGAGTACTACACAATGACAGGAAACATGATCTGTAGTTTAGATGGCAAAAATTGATATTGTATCAAGTAACCCCACTGAAAACTTGAAAAGCAGTAATGAAACTCTCTTATAATTGTTGAGTATTTATAGCCCATATCTCTAGAAGCTCTGTGCATTCCTCTTCTCCAGAATGCATATGCAGTCATAGTTTTTTTCTGATTCACACTATTTATGTGGCAAGGTAACCTTGACAGCTTAATGTTAAGAGACATATCTGATAACTGTATCATCCCATTCCCCTTCAAAGGGCCAGCTTAATCATAAAGATGCAGGTCCTCTCAGACCTGAGCCAGTAAATCATTCTTTAGAATATGCAAGGAACACTCAATATAAAGACATCCAGAAGAATATTATGAATTCCATAACACAAATAAGAGCATTTATATAACAAAATAATCCCTACTCTCATTCAAAATGAACTCAACAGTATTTGATAGACATTCATAACAAAATTCAAAACTCTTTGAATTAGTTTCAAAACACACACAAAAAAGCATATACAAAGAGCATATTTGTATCTCCTAAATTGAAGTGGTAAGTTGATTAAAAGATCAAGAAAGCCTAACTAGAGCCATCCACAAGTCTACGCCAACCCGAATAGCCCACAATTGAACTATCATCTTGCTTTCAAATTTATTCCGTCTTCTTATTTCATTCCAAGTATTAGCTATGACGTAAGATACACTGGGAACTCCCCTTTCCTTGTTCATCTCCCACCTCCTCAAGCTCACCTTTGCTACTTCCATCATTGGTGTGATCAACAGAACTTCATCTATAGAACATACATTCTTCCCATTGCGCTGACAAAGTAGAAGATGCTCTTCTTCCGTAAGGAACTCCTCCCTCACAAGCCTCGCTGGGATTGACAGCCTATTCTGGGTGCTGTTTACATCCGTTTTGGTAAGCTCCTTTTGAATCACCAATTTCTCGACACATACTGCCCGGTTACCAGCCCTTTGGAGAATAAAATTTCTGAATTCAACCGGTAGTCCTGGTGGTGGTTCTGGACCGTTGTTGGGCACCCCACTTCCCCTCTTTCGCTTCTTGGAATTGATCCTCTCTGCCACAGCATTTCCCGCAACCTCATCAGACTTTAACCTCCTCTTTAAAGAAGCTCTGCTGTCATCAGTGCCACTGGAATGTGAAATAACAGATTCTGGTGTGTTGCTTCGTGCTGCACTTTGCACCACAGACTTCAAAGCATCGATCTGCCAAGATAAGCCATAAAATGATCCCATCAATTTTTTCCTCCATTCCTCCTTATTAGGCACTGTATGGTTGGAAGGAATGATCAAACTCTTATTGAGATCAAGCCCACAGTACTGATCATCATCATCATCATCATTGTAGCATGCTTTCTTTTCTTGCTTATCCTCTTGTTTCTCTTTCTCAAGTAGTAAGCTCTCTTGCTTACACACCGCAAGTAGATAATCAAATCTGCAAGAACCCGAGGGAAGGGTAATGTCAGCAAAATCTTTAAGACGAACCATGATGAAAATAAACACCACACAACAAGGTATGTATTCAAAACTGAATATATAGCAGATAAGAGAAACTGAGTTCAGAATAGAAGAAAAACTACAGACTGAACCATGATGAAAATAAACACCACACAACAAGGTATGTATTCAAAACTGAATATATAGCAGATAAAAGAAACTGACTTTAAAACAGAAGAAAAACTAAAGAAACTATAGTTAAGAATGAATGAAGAGTAAGTATATGTGTGTGTGTATATGTAGGGATGGATCAAATACATAATACATATATACTAAATTATTTTCCAAATCCCATCATAAAACAAAATTGGGAAATAGCAAATGTTGAGTTACCTTTGGTATGAAGATCTGCTATCACTGCCACTGGAATGTGAAATAATAGACTCTGGGGTGTTGCTTTTCCTCCATTCCTCCTTATCAGTGTGGTTTGAAGGAATGATCAAACTCTCATTGAGATCAACCCCACCTAAATAGTATTGATCATCATCACCATTGTAGCACCCTTTCTTTTCTTGCTTATCCTTGTGTTCCTCTTTGTGAAGTAGCAATCTCTCTTGCTTACACACCTCAAGTAAATAATCAAATCTGCAAGAACCCCCAGGAAGGGTAATGTGAGCGAAGTCTTTAAGACAAACCATGATATGATGAAGACAAATCACAGCAGAACAAGGTAATGAATGAAGATTAAGGATATGTGTGTCTGAGTGCGTAAATGTAGGAATTAGGAAATTGAGTTGAGTTAAGTTGCCGTTGGTATGAAGATTAAGTATATGTTTCCAAATTCCTCAGAAATCAGAATGAGGAAATTGAGTCGAGTTACCGTTGGTATGAAATATGAATGAATGAATCATACTGTACCGTTGGTAGGATTCCCTCCAAACTTCCCGCCGCTCCCCCGCCGACTCCGACTACTTAAAATTTCAAATAATCCTTTTTTTTTTTTTTAAATAGAAATTAAAAGCGTCTCTTAGTTTACCGGCGACACTTCTAGGTGGAAGAGCAGCTCCGGCTCAGGCGATGACAACCACCGGTCCACCCCTCCTCTGCTCCTCCGCCGTCGCATTCTCGTCAGAACTGCTGCGCTTTGCTTCGCCAAGCACGAGAAGAGACGCTTCGCCATTCTCGCCGCCTTGTCTAAATTCAATGAAGAGTTTGATGCTGAATGAAGAGTTCACTAACATTAACTTTGATGATTATGTAATTAACAACATTAATTCACATTTTAACTCTTAAATTTCAAAGGAGAGATATAATTTATATGGCTGACTAAGTCGTATAAATGTCACCCTAATCAATAATTAACTCATACTAATAAATACATCATAGGAAATATAATGTGTACGTGAATTTCCACAATGTTTTAGAACATTATGACATTTTTGTTGTAATACTGTTGTTTGTGCCCATTGGCCTGTAGCTTCTAACCGGTGAATTGAGACAATGAACATGAAAGTAAAGAGCAAAGGAAAATAGAGAGACAAACTAGATTGGACAAGGGATTCTTATTCAACATCATCACCCATGTACAAAAGCTACAACATATATATAATATACAAATGTAATAATGGGTACAATAATGATAAGCATAATGACGGATCGTTATATCCGTTATACTAATAATGTCCACTTAATGTATATATTTATAACACTCCCCCTTGGACATTATTTGTCCATAGTCTTGCCTCGTTAAAAACTTGCTAGGAAACCCGGTGGGAAAAACCTAGACAAGAAAAGAGTATAATAGAAAATATATTCATGCCTCATTAAAAACTTCACTAGGAAAACCACGTGGGAAAAACCTAGTTGAAGAAAAGAGTACATGATATATGTAAAATAATATATTGTATTTGGTCGCCTCATTAAAAACCTTAACTTAAGAAAACCCTGTGGGAAAAACTTAGTTAAGGGAAAAAGAGTACAACCATAAGCCTTCAGGGCGCAAACCGCATAATCTTCAAGATTTTGGGGTTTGTCCATCTAACCAATTATTTTGCAACTTTTCCTCATTGTCATTACTATATCATACTCATGCCTCGTTAAAAACCACACTAGAAAACCCAATGGGAGAAAACTAGTGAGGAAAAGAGTACATGATATTTATGTATTTATGCGTTGCAAATAGTGCGCAATTGTTAGTCTTTTATGACTGGCGCAAACCGCATAATGTTCAGGATTTTACGTTCAATCTTCTGGATTGATTCAAGTAAATGTACTTCCCGTTGTGTTGCAAATAGTGCGCAACTGTTAGTCTTTTATGACTTAATCTTCACGATTTTACGTCCAATCTTCCGAATTGATTCGAGTAAATATACTTCCCGTCTCCCCCTGAAGATAACAATCTTCAAGTTCTACATATATTTCAAAATTTGAAGAGGTGGATTGGACAAATCTTCTGGATTGTCTCTAGAGTAGTGTACAATAATCTTATGGCCCTTCTAGAGCTCATATAACATTTGTGCAACACAAGTGTTATTGTCCTCATTTTGATCATTTAGGGAAATTCAGTGTATAACCAGTTTGGACTTGGCATTACAGGGATTAAACAAAATAGCCAGTACCTAAGTAGCTTATTAAAACCGTATCACAGTTTCTTACATAAATATCATGTCTTTGTATCTTGAAGATACCGGAGGATATGTTAATCATTATTCAAGTACTTCATTGTAGGAGAAGCACTAGATTTTGCTAGCAATTTCATCGCAAATATCATATGCCTGTTGCGATTATGGAACTTCTGGTTCTAAAATGGTGCTCCAACGATAATGAAGTAAGGGACTTCGAGTCCAAATGGTTCCTTATCTGCTTCAAGAGATTATTAGGCAACCTTTAGTTTGATAAAAACATGACACTTATGCATATAGACATGTGAAAAGCATTTTTAGATGTAGGCTGACTGGTGTATAAAAATTCTTCAAGGAAAAACTCGATCTTCAAGTCGAGATAATACTTATAGCTTTCACAAGCTTTTATTTTAAAAATCGATCTCAGTCTTTAAAGATGAATTGACATCATCAAACTCTTTATATATTTCATTGATGTTTACACCATCAATATTGACTGAGATAATAAATAAGTCCATTATCAACTCTTTATTGAGCACATAATGGTACATATTATTCCTTCTACATGAGGATAATAACCCCATTCGCAACTCTTTAAAGAGTAAATAATGACACTTTATAATACTAAATAAATCCTCATTCGGAAATTATAAATCCATCAGGGATTTCTCATAGATATTTTGTAGGTATAGATTTGCTAACTTGTCATTGGAGCAAATCTTCTGGACAAATATTTTATCACTCTTCTGGAGTTCATGTGGATCAAGGTATTTTATATCATAAAAAACTATATACGTTTTTATTTGTCCGAAGTATGATGACTTCATGTCAAAAGCATCAATATGAATATTTGTACCTTGATTTGCTATTCCTTATTTCATCTCATAACTTAACAGTCGCTATGACAAAGCGGGAAAGTAATAACGAGATGATAATATACAAAATACATCTATAAGAACAAGTATTATCCCTTAGGCTTTAAGATGCTTAAAGCTTAGATTGATTTATAATATATCAATCCAAGTCATGCCGTTTAACATAATGCCAATATTCAAATGACTTCTCTAAAGATGTATTGTATACCTTAAGGATATTATTTAACATCATTTCCTTTTCTTTCCAGGAGAATCACCAAATCACTCTTTACAAATTACAAAAATAAGATGTGAATTTGGGAATTTTATGTCTCAAAGAAAAGGTATTCAAAAACTGACGTTTTGAAGCAGTGGACTTCTGGTCCTGAAGTATCCTTTTAGGTAAAAATGGTCCTTATCTACTTCGGGAGATTATTTGGACATAGACTAAATAGTATGTAAAATTCCTTTTAAGGAAATGCTCGATCTACAGGTCGATGTAATACTTGATTCTCCATCTCCAATAAGCCCCTTAATAAGTACCTACTGGTACATATTCATTTCTATAATTTCCTTATTTTAAGAGGAAATTACTCAATCAATTGATTCACTATTTCAAGTAAAGTAAAGCATTTGTACTTCAACAACAAACATGTTGTGATATTTACTTTCTTTCATTTTTGAGAATTATAAATCCAACAAGGATTTTCATATAAACATTAGTGTCTAATGACCCATAATTTCTAGGTCATGACTTTAATAAGCTGCATATCTAGAATTATTCTGCCAATCATGTAGCGGAACTTTTAATAATATTTATCATGGGAGAGTATACTTGATTATGGGTTTCTGCGTGAACCCTTAGGCTACAGACTCGCTTTATATCTCACCACCTTATCATTTTTGTTTTCCTTCATACAAACACCATTTGTAACCTACAGGGTTAATACTTCAATGGTGTACAAAAGGAATATATTAGCGAGTTGAGCTGTATATGCCTTTAATTGCTCTCTTTATATATTAATCAACCTAGGCGCTTCTGGCACCTAGTTCTGGATCCAGATTGTCATATAATATGAGCAATTTGAAGGCAACTGTGTTGTCGACAACTTACAATATTTTTAAGAATCTCTCCCATATATATAGAAGTAGTTTTCGAAGTTAACCAGATTATAGCCATTTCCCAAGGATATTTATATCTGGTTGTTCCGCAACCCAGTATTATGAATATTTGGTGCACCAATAATTTTACTGGGCTTTTTCTCGTCGTCTGGACGATCGTCTTAAAGATATAACTTTTTAATATTTCAAGAGCTCTAAGATTTTCACGAGTGACATAAATTCTTTACTAGATCTAGTTGATTCTTTATTTTTCTATCCCAATGAATCTCCCGCGCTTCTGGCGTCAAGGAGTATTGATAGATATATATGGTCCAATTTTGGGGAATATGTATGGGACCTAGTCACTCTTTTTATGAAAAAGATTATTTGACAGATATGTTTGATTTCTTTCTGAACTTCCAGTTCAGTCTAATTGGTACGTGGATTTGATTTTTGAAGATCATTTCATGAAATTTCTCGGCATTCTATTTCAATTTTGATCATATCTCCCCCTAATGCCGTGAACCGATCTTCATGCAGTCAGCGTATCCATCGCGTCTCTCTCAGGGGCTTTAAATATTGGAGACAATAGATGGAGGTTTAGATGGATACGCTATGGTGGTCATGTAATAGATTGGACTGCATTCATATGAATATAAACGCAGATTTGGGAAATGTTTGTTTGAAAACCACGTATTAGATGTAAGGGGGAATAAGGATATGCATTGTGCCGAAATTTTTAGCATAAATATTGCATTTCCCCACCAAGTATCCGGCACATTGGAATTTTGAAAAATAATGGTTTAGCAAGTAATTTAAATTTAGAGATTCAGCTAAACCCTTTTAGGTGTGGTCACAAGGCATGTGATGCTTTATCATAATGCCTAATTCCATATAACAATTGTCAAAAGTTGACAAGTTGAATTCACCAAACATTATCCATCATTATATGCTTAAGAGGATAAACGGAGAATTTAATTAAATGACGTTTGCTCAGAAATTTGGCAATTGTTTTGTTCGTAATTGACAACAGCCACACATGTGTCTACTGGG